TATAAAATAATATTCTGTTTCCAGTCAGTCTGACTGAGCTGGAGTTTTTTCTTGAGCTGATTGTTACTGACTGACTCAGAAAATACTCCAGACTATTTTAGACACTAACTTTGTCCTTTTATTTCATACTGATCACTGATTTTATACACATATTCAGATTGCTCCATGTGAAATAGCCTGGACATTAATGCTTGAGTGTAAACCAAAACCTGGTTTACATCCATTGTTTTGCTCTTTTAAATGCTTCCATAATGTTTGTCAGTCAAACTTTACATCCTACTTCAAGTTGTTCAGGCCCTGAAGCGTGTCATACATATGCTGCTTTCTTAGATTGTCTTCTAGGTGATTATAACTACTTCAGTGAAGCAAATAAAATCCATATTAAATATTATTCCACCATAATTATCTGTAATTCAATCTGTCTACCTAATTAGAAAAGGTTTGTTTTGATAGTCAGTGTCAACCTGGTTGCTACAGCAACACACAACTCCTAGTAATACAGCTGAGTGTGCTGAAGTCTACATTGTTTCTGTGCGTAAAAAGGATCATCTCAGCAGCTCCAAGCTTATATGGCCATACAAATATTTCACACTGAACAGATGCAAAAGAGAGTAATTTCAGAAAAAGTCATTAAGTATGAGCCACAGGGGTTTATATTAACATAGTTACAGAGAGCTGAAGACACTCAGGGGGTAAAATTTACTGGTTTTAGCTTCTAGTCTCTTTTTAGACATTCCTACAAGCCAGCAGTTCTCAGAGCTTTTGTGGAAAAGGTTGAAGGTCTGGAACAACTAAAAACGTGAGATAAACTGAGTGAGACGAGCAGACGTAAAACTTACAGAAATCCAGACACAGAACGCAGCATCCTAATTTAAATATAAATCTCTGCGCTGAATAAACTGCCAAAGGGCATGTCCCAATGAAAAGTCTGATTTCTTTCCAAAATTACTTTTATGTTTTCCCAGTTTCATTTTTTTAGTTTCTTCTCACATGTCCAAGTTAAAAAAATAAACCCTTTGATTTATAGAAGCAAACTTTCCTGGAGGAGGAAGAGCAACATTTTGTCTGAGTGTGTGTGTGTGTGTGTGTGTGTGTGTGTGTGTGTGTGCGTGTGTGTGTGTGTGTGTGTGCGCGCAGGCAGCACGTTTGGACCCACATCGATAGTTTAGGCTCTCCCTTTAAACTGGACTATGGCGCCTTTTTCTTCTCTTCATTAAAGTATATTACCTGGAGACTTTGATTTTTTTGTTGTTCTTTTTGTGCAGAGATGAAGCAAAAAGCTGCAGATAAGCTGCAGCTCCAACTCCAATCATCTTGGAGGTAAACAACTGAAATAAAATAAATATGATTGAAGGTTTTGTCAGTATTTAAAATGAACACCATGTTGGTTTAACTCCCTTGTGAACAAAGTTTCATAATGGAAACGTGAATTAGTTCTGATTTTATGGATGTGAAATTATGAACAAATGTGTAATTACTGAGAGCCTGGATAAAATTATTTGTTTTGTAAGTTCAGACAATCTTCTTTGTTGTTTTTGAAAACATGACAAAATAAAGTGGATGTTAGACAACATAATCCACAGGCTAATTATGAATAACATTACTATATATGTCATATTTATTTCAGACAAATTATGATAAATGAATGAGATTTATTTCCAATTGGAGCTCTGAACGTAGTTCAGAGTATTTAGGAGGTGAATTGTAAATATGAATCAATTCATTTTAACCCGACTGAACTGAGAGAACCAGTTCTTGTTAAAGATGAGATCACAGAACATTTCTGTAACAAAACTGTGGATCCAACATCTTTTATTTGTTCAAGTGCCTAATGCTACTGACTTTTATTTCTAGCTGAAAATATCAGTCGGTACTTATTAGTCTTTTATTTTCTTCCACTTTCTGGTTTTTATTGCTTGAACTGTTCTTTTGTTGTTTTTGGTCTGTTTTATTGCAGGTGGTTCTGTTTTGCAGTTCTCATTTTATTTTATGGACTTTGGGGACTTTCTGGGTTTGCAAAGAGTTCCACAAACCCAATCAGGACTAAGGAGGCCCGGGGTGCTTTATTCGTTTTTTTTGACACGGACCATGACTTTTCAATTCACGGGACGTCTTCTCCGCTCCATCAGAGCAATAAGTAGCTTTTAGAAAAGCTGCAGTGAAGTCGCACATCTTGCTCTGCTGAGGATCTTTGCACAGGGAGATATTTGTTAAAGTGTGAGGCTAGAGTTGCCATAATTTGATATGACTTGGAATTAATTCGACACATAACGCACTGCCTTTGTGGCTGTGACAAAAATAACAGAGAGAGTTGTTTTCGCCCTCCTTTGTGTGTTGTAATTATTGCTGAGCGTCATAGCAGCACACGCTACCAGCTCAGGTCGCTCCCACACGGCTTTCATTTGAGCCTCAGCTGAACGTGTCACATTACACAGACAGGGAGCATCAGCTATCAGCACAGCCTGTCTGCTGCTGCTCTTTCCCTGTGAACGCCAGTGGAAAGGCTATGCTGACATTTGGATTTGTTAGAACAAATCTGAAAAATCACTTTTTTTACACATGTCCTTTTCTGCAGCCAACTTCCGTCCTTTTGTGAGTCGCTCTGTTGTCACAATTTTGCATGATTTGTTTCCTCCCCACACAAAAAAAAAAAAGTAACTTCTTTATGAAAGCCAGGTCACTGCATCACAACATTGTGTTTCTGCAAGACATGCAGCATTGCTCAGTTTTCTTGCCAGTGGTCAGAAATTCATGGCTGACTTTTATAAGCTGGCAAAAATTTGCTTACAATTTGAAAAAAAAAAAAAAATGTGGTTCACCTGTCAGGTATTCACTTCCTGTCACAGCAGAACGGAACCACATATTTTCAAATCATGAAATTAGTAGGGAGATGTTAAATGGTAGGGAGCAGGTAGGTGGATGGGTGATGCATTTTATGACAAACTTCAGCCAATTTGTGACTGTTCCTCCAGTGGAGGAAGACATGACAGCTGGTGAGACAGGCCAGGAGAAGCTGGGCGCATTTCATCAGGTAACAGTGGAGTCTTTACTCTGTGGACTGAGGGGACACCTTGAGTGCCAGCGAAGGCAGAAGAGACAGCTAAGTCCCAAATGTGCTGCAGCTCACAAAACGGAGAGCGAACAAGGCCCACTGAAACAAACAGGGAGTGACAGAAGGCAGAGAAAACTGAGATGGGAAAGTAGAAAAAGAGGCGTAAAAGTCTGTTTATAGAAAGGTGAACCAGAAGACGTGACAGTGGAGGACAATTTGATGAAGCAAGTTTGTAAAAATGGCCAAATGTTGTCAAAATGATTATTTTGAATGTGTTTCTCAAATAATTTAAATGAAGAAAAAAAAAATGTACGCAACATTTGCAACAGTTTTTGCACTTTAAAGCTAATCTGTATTCAAAGTACAGACTTTAATATATTTTATGGCATCCCTTCATGTTTCCTCCTCATGAATACCTAAAAATAGCAAATTGCTAGCAGGCACAAAAGCATGTCCTGCTTCCAAATCTGTACTGACAACTAAATTCTCCGTGTCGCTCCGTCTAACTCATTCATTCAACTCTGTGGGCTTCAGAGACAAGAGCAGCAAAAAGATGATCACACTGACAGGACATCCAATGCAGGCGCAGAGAGCGGCTTACATCAGAGGAAGAGCAGGAGTTGTCCAGGACGAGTTGGTAAAAAAGCACAAAGCGTCTTTATTGCTTTCCCTCTTCGTAGATTAAAGGACTAAAAGCCACAAAAGTGGCTAAAATGAACAAATTTAAATATTATGAAAAAGGTTAATTATTTTACTATTTTAATTCTATATGAAAAAATAATGTAAACAATAAACTCATGCAGATTTATCACACAGAGCATTATTTTAAGAATGTATCACTGGTTTTTGCTTACAGCTAAAAAAACAACAACAAAAACTTAACTTCTCAGAAAATTAGAATATTACATAAGACCAATAAAAACAGATTTTTAATAATTCAATCTCCTGAAATGACTGTCCACACCGAACAGGAAGTCCACTGAGTACTTGGTTGGGGCTCCTTATGCCTGAATTACTGCATCAATGCAGCATGACACGGAAACGATCAGACTGCGGTTCTGCACCATCTACAGTCTGATCATAATCATAATGATCATAACTAACTGTAAAAACCAGTTAGTTATGATCATCTACAAATTAAACACAAAGGAGCCCCGCTGAGCAACCATCCGGTCATTTTTCTGGGAACATCTCGCCATGTGAAATATTTCAGATGTTTTCTTTGGTTCAGATTGGCTCAATGCAACAAATGTGGAACAGAAACCATGTGGTAATTTTCTCTAAACTCTTGAAGAGTCTTTACATTACAATCCTCTAAAGGATGGGATCACCTATCCAGGGAATGAACTGTTTTCCTTCCACTTAACTTTTTTTAAGCTTCTTTAGTAATGATCTTATATGCCTTATCCTTCCGACGGAGTGTTTAATAAACATATATGAAACTTCCATTGATCAAATTAACATTTTAATCATATTCTAATTGAATGTGGTTCACCTGTAAAAACCCAAACTTAAAACTGAGCCAACAAAACGAAAGAATCTAAAATACAGAAATCATCTCAACCACAGTAGTTTCTTTATATCTAGGTCACTCGGATAAGTCATTTTTAAAGAATATGACAGGATTCTGTCGGTAATATATAAATCAAACACTTGTACGGAATATCTTTTTCAGATGTGGTTGCACAGACAGACAAAAGCCAGTGGAGCTGTGTCTATTCATGTGGAGCAAAAGGATGAATTATTACTGTCATTGTGCCACAGCCGTACTAAAGGAATGCCCAGACCACACGCCGCTGAAGCATGAAAGCATAAAACCAAGATTGCTTTGGGTTCATGGGCTGCACACACTGACCTGGTTGTTGACACTTGGATACACATTCACAATCCTCTTTTTTTCCCCAAAAAGCTTTGAGAGTGAGGGTGGAAGAAAGGAGAATGCACTTACTGCTTGACAGATGATGGGGTATTTGATTCGATTGATGCCACCGGCAAACACAGCGAAGGTCAGCGCCGTATGGAAACAGAAGTTGAGAAGCATGTGCCATCCCTTCCTGCTGATGCGGATAGCGCTGGGAGGAAGAAAAAGACGACACAAAAAAAAAAAATTACAGATGCAGCTAAACTATTTTATTCAGAAATGATCCAATCAGCAGGTTTTTTTTTTTTTTTAACTGCTCAAAAGGAAAAGCCGGGATGCAGCTCACTAGGACTGAGGAGTTGGATGAGGTGTGCGGAGAAGAACAACTTCTCCATGTGGGATGCAGACTGACTCACGTAGCTCCTTACCACAGCGCTCCTACATGTTTGCATGTTCTTTTTGTTTTAAATAGCTTTGAGTTTGAATAGATTTTCTCATTATGTAAGGAAAGCAGCAACAATCTGTTGATGTACCAATGCTGCTACCTCAAGCTGTTGTCCCCCCTCCACCCCATCTGCACATGTCGCAGAGGTTTTTACATGGAACAGAAAGAAATTGGCTTAAATTTCTACTCAATGGGGTTTCTGTGTGTAGGGAGGATTTTAAGTCAGTTCATCAACTTAAATGTGTAGAATGAGGGCAGGACGGGATTTTTAAAGGTTGTCTCATCTTCAAATTTGCAATTTTTTAAATGTATTATGATGTCATCTGTTATTTTCTTCCAAAAATGATTTAATTATGCCTTTATTTACAAACTTTTATTCCTTTTCCTTACTTTTTAAGAACTATTTCTAAAAAGTACAATGTCAAAAGGAGTCGAAATAGCTTTGCCTAACTCTTTTACATTGAACTCTTTGGTCATACTTAATTAATGACTTAGGATAGATTATAATTATAATAAAGGTGAAATATACATTTTACTGGTTTGACAGGATTTCTACATGTCCTAGTTTGAGAAAACTGTAAAGTAAAATTATAAAACTGATCAGGATTGGGGTAGATCAGATCCGGATTAAAACAAGATTAAGAGATCCTTAAAAATGTGATGAACAATATTCTAGCATATTATCAGATATTGCTGCATTGAGTCCCAAAATGTAACTTTGTGCAATTTATGACCCAACAGAAAAAAAACAGAGCAGTGATTGGAAGACAGAGATATTTGTAGAGAAAGAACAGATTACTGGCCACCATAGTTGGTGGTGTTGGTGTAGTCTCTATATATAGTACTTAGAAAGTTACAGTTGTTTGTTTGTCCTTTATATAATTTTCTACAAATATAAATCCTGGTTCTCATTTATTAGCTCCACACTGGCAGAATACTCCACAGGGAGTTTTAATGTATAAATTATGAAATATTGTTTCTTTTTCCAATTTCACTTCAGTTCAAAATGAATAAAGTTCAAGAAGGTCTGCAAAGACTTAATTCACACTAAACATTCACCTATAGAACTGAAACAAAATTAAGACCAATTGTTTAGTTAATTGAGAATTTATAATAATTAGTTAATTAAAAACAAACTGATCAACATTTACACAATTAGATATTTTATATTCAAAATAACACCACTGATGCACTTTTTAAGACTGTTTCTTCTTCTGCTTTTTAAATCGTATGATTCATGAGATCTAAAGAAGGCAAAGCTGGAGAAGCGAGAACAAACCCAGCTGCTCCATTTAGTGACGGAGCCTTAGAAGGCTGAAGTTCAGATAGATGCTCTTTCAGCACTTCACAAAATAAAGGAATGAATAGGACAGGTTGTGAAATGTGAACTCTTCACTGAGCCACATGGCTCAGTTAGGCACCAAACAGGACAGGATCAATTTCATTTGTTTTACCACAGTAAGTGTGCATTTTCATCCTCCAGTATGACTTTATCACTAAGCCTGCAACATTCCCACACAACCTACTCACCGAAACTCACACATCTAGTAATTATAGCTCTATGTGCAACAATCGCTCTGCTGGGTTTCATAATGAGCTAGATAGATCATTATATTTTTTAAGATGGCTGGATAAAGTTAGATGTTCAAATCTTTGAAGGATAACATTCCAGACTTTTCCATACTCCACTTTCCAAATTCCTTTACATGCACCTTAATACATAAAAACATCACAGACACAAAGAGAGACAGATAATAGACACAAGGAAGGAAGGAATACTTGAATCAAATTCCAGTCTGTTTCATACTTTTCCAAACTTTAAAGGAGTTTTTGATGTAAATGCACTTCCACTTTGAGAAGTATGTGACCAATCAGGGTCCATGCAGCCCTAAGCTGGGCACTCAGCCCACATCACTGGTTTCCACCCAGTTGTTAGAAGACTTGGCTAAATAGGTCAGACATTTCCAACATGTTTTCTGGGCTGTGAGTTAGCAGACCATCTAATCTTTTAATTCGCGTCCTCTGTCAGCTCATATTGCTTTATTTTTCTAATTTATTTATTTTTTGTTGTTGATTCAGTCACTGTCCCCGTTTGAAATTACATAACCCTGCTGTGGGAATCTTCCCTCCCCAAAATGGAGGAGTAGAGCCCCGGCTGCACGTGAGCCCACTGTAGATGAAGCAGCGGCTGCTGGAGCCTGGAGGCGTGTCTGGGGCCGGGCCTCACCGACTTCTGCAAAGGGGAGGGAGAATTAGAGCTGCTGCTGAGTTCCAGTCCATCCAGCACCAGGCACATAAATCAGGGTGGCTGCTGGCCTCCCTGGAAGAGGTTTTCACAGGTTCTGCTGCGGGCTTTCATTGGGTCAAGTACATTAACCTGGCAACCCTCCATATCTCCATCTCTCAGAGGGTTGGTGGGGGATAAAACAGCCCCGGCTCTGCAACTACTCCCTCACCTCAGAACCAGCCGCTCCAACAAATGCAAGGGGCAATAAAGCAACAGCCTGCAATATAAGACGTTTTACATGGACGAGGTTTAGCCAAGCCAAACGTCCTGCTGATGTCTCATAAACCGAAGAGCGCAGGCTTGGTAACAAGCTGCAATGGAAGTGGTTACAGTCTAATGCATATTTATTAAGTCAGAAAAAGAGACAAGAGTGAGGATAAGATAAAGATCCGTGGCTGGAATTAACAAGACGATATGAAAGAAACTAATTCTGCTCTGTTTAACGAACTGTGTCCCATTCTGCTGGAGAAGAAACAAAATGAATATGAAGAAGGTTGATATAATGGATGTCTGTTATGACAGAAAGGTTGAATAAGCTAAAGGACTTCTGCTAAATTAGTTATTTAGTCTATAAATATCTTAAGCATTTTTGCACAAAGTTTATTAGAGTCACAGCGGGAAATCTTCCTGAAGTGGAAATTAAAAATACTTTCATAATCAAAATAAAAATCTGAAAAAGATGCATTTTTATTCTTCCTCTTTTACTCTCAAATAAAATCTAGTGCAAGTAAAAACCTAGAAGTCACATCATTGTTAAATCAAATCCAACTGTGCATAATTTATCTGATGGGTAATCTCAGCATCAGTATGTTTATGAACAAACTGGATCATAAAGATAAAGGAGGAGACGAACACAACTGTTGGTCATAAACGTCATAAATTGGGTTTTTATGGAACAGTGGCAAGAAAAAGTCAAAAGAAGTTCTTCATGCACAAACCAAGTCTTGCCAAGAAAACTGTGAAAGGTGATTGCTTTTAATGAAGCCAACATACAACTTCTGAAGTAAAAAAAACCCTGTCTGTCATGAAACACAGTGGTGGCAGCATCATGATGTGAGGATCATTTTTGTTAGCAACACAGGAAAGCAGGTCAGACTTGCGAGGAAACTAAAAACATGGCGATCCTGAAGGAAACCTGTTCGACGCTGGTGAGGATATTCACCTTCAGCAGGAAACCAACCCTGGACTGACAGTCAGAGCTACAGCAGGATGGGTCAGGTCAAAGCAGGTCCGTTTAAATCAATCTGAGAAACTACGACGATGTCTGGAACATCATTTTCAGGGATGCTCTTCAACCAATCTGAATGAGCTTGAGCTATTTTGCAAATGAGAACAGAAAACAAACTGGTCAGAACAGGCCTACCGACATTACCCAAGTACTGTAACAGCACTGAAAGATGGCTATACAAAGCACTGACTGAAAACAAGAACACACCAGTCTGTTTTTGTTTTGTTTACACTGACAATTTAAAAAGAAAATCATGTATCGTTTTCCTTCCACTTCATAACCATGTTCTACTTCTATAAAGCCCCAGTGCAATACACAAAGTGACAAACTGTGAAAAAGCTCAAGGTGATGAATACTTCTGCAAAGCACTGCTGATAATTCAAATAATAGAACAGCTAAAACGTAGCACATGGCGGTACGTACGCGCCAAGAGATTGCCATAACTGCATTTGACTGCTGTTGCTAAGCAAAACCTGTGGTGATGACTTCAAAATAATTTGCAGGCAGCAGAAAAGTTGACACATTTACTGTAAGAAGATTAACAATTTAAACTGAGGTCTGATTTCACAGTGAATCTGTGCTGCTACCTAAGGCTCGACAACACGCTAAATGAATTAAATAATTTTAAAATGTTGTTTATGCTGCTTTTTTAGCAAAGTAAAAAAAAAAAAACAACAACCCTAAGGCAGAAAAAAAAACACAGGTAATGAAGGTTCTTTCCTTAGAGACATCTGCATCAGTGAACTTTGCCAGGAGGCAGCTGCAGCCGAATGAAGTAATAAAAGACACAAAAAGTGAAAACGATGTGGTTTTATAGCGTCTGACAGAGAGCAGACTGTAAAAACACACAGGCGAAGTTTCTCCCATCAATCTATTTGACATTCAGAGACAGTGGCAGAAAGAAAACGCAAAACTACTTTTGGAGTTTCAAATAAGAGAAAAACAATGTTGGGTTTTTTATCAGCAGTTTTCTTATCAGATTTATTGTGGCCGTCCAGCAGAGGCCAGGATGAATCACTCCTCCCGTTTCTCTGAAACATCAACAATTATTTTGAGCACCAAGTTCCTTCAGACATTTTTTAACTTCATGGTTAATGTTTGGTTGTTTCATTAATAAAATACATAAGTGCAATTCCTGATAAATCTGGATTCTACTGGACCCTCCTTGAAATTGAAGCTTTCGTTAAAATGTCATATATTCACCATATGAACATTATTCTCCTCTGTGAAGTAGGAAATTACATAGATCTTAGTGATTAAGAAAAAAATATTTACCCTTAACATTATTCACAATACATAAATGATTGATCAATTATATCCCATTTTCTTAACATGTTTTATGTCTACAGTGGACTCCCACATAATCATAGTTCAGTTTGCGTAGATTCATTTTCTGTGGAAGTAACTCCAAAGTATTTTGTGGTAAATTTGCCTACATGTCATTTTTTTCATAGAGCTCGTCTAAAAGCTTGAGAAGCACAGATATCTAGGCACAATGATTATTGGCACACTATTGGCTGGCGTTTGGAAAACAGCCAATAAAGGAGGACTATTTATTTTCCTTGGTGATGATTGGCTGTACCTCAATAGCGCCATGAGGAAGACCTTTGCTATTAGCTTCTACGGCTGGACCATTTCATTGTGCATATTAATGCATATTATGGTATATTTTGTGTTTGAACTATTACAATAAGCAGATGAATGCATTCTTAGATAAGTCTCCAGTATTTGTGGATTCCAGCTACTTGGTCCCAACCTCTGCAAACACCAGAGGTTCACACCTAATTCACCACAGTTTGATTTGTAAAATTTCTAAATATGCTGGCATGTAAACTGTGAAGTGTTGGAAAATGTCTCTGACTGCTGCAGTCTGATTCAAGTATTTGTTAATTTGTCCTGACTGTGAACACTTTTGATGTAAATTGTGTCAGTTGCTTTCAAAGGATTTCGGGTTTAAGGAAATTATACCAACTGCTGTGAATTTCCCTTCGCTCCAACGTCTTACGTTTACCAATAATCACAAATTCTGTGCTGAAATGCCTTGTTGTTGGAAAAGGAAGTCAACACACACATCATTGTGGGTAAATCTATTTCTACATGCGCTCCCACTCCATGCGGTGTCTATCACTGAACTGTCTTGCATTCTGCCCATTTAACACCCAGTCCCAGCGCTTCACGGCTTGGATCCTGTCAGTCTGCTGGAGTGATACTGAAGTGTTACTAAACAGAGATGTGTTTTAGTGTTAGGGAGAGCCTAGTGGGAGGTGTGGAGGAGGTGGAAGAGTTCGTTAATGTGAGCTACATTGAAGGAAAATCCCCTCTAACTGTGTGTGCAAAACATAAAAATCTGCCATCACACCTTAAAATATGGACTTTCTTTTTTTTTTTTGCTTCTAGCCTAAACAGGAACTGATGTTCTTTTTGCCAAAAGAAAACTTGAAGATGCTTGTGGTTTGAGCAGTTTTCAAGATATGGGTTACTGATGTAAGCATAATACACACAGCCTAAAACCTGTTGGAAACTTGTTGATGAAACTAGTTGCACAGTTTCTCACCTTGTTCAAAAATCAGATGTTTAGCAGATACTTTTAGATGTAACACCAATAAAAAAGGGTCACACTAATATCTCATTGGACTTCCAGTAACCAAAATAATACATTTAGTGTCAAGTAAAATGTTGATGGAATATGAGCAGTAATACGGTTATGGCTGATGTTTCTTTAATGTTTTTATTTCTGCTGCTAACAAATTTGTTTCCTAGTTCAACGGGATATATCTGAACGGCGAAAAAAGTTCAACATTGTATCGTTTTAATTCACAAACACTGCATATAAAACACAGCAATTAGCAAAATGACTTATTGCTGCACTTAAACTATATTCTAGTGGAGCAAACTTCTACTTTATAAACCTAAAAAAAGGCTGAAGGTACACTACAAAATGCCTGCTTCTCTGTTCTCACCTCGTTCAGATACAAAGCAACAAAGGTGGCCTCTATACCTCCTAACAAATCCGTTAGGGGCATGTGTTTGTCTTATGATGGACTAAAACACATGCTTTACCACAGACACTAATGTGTACATGTTTTATATCCTCTTAGACAGATTGTAGGGCTTAACAGCAGCCTAAAGCATCTGACTCACACCCCAGTGAGCAGAGGAGTCACAAACCACCATGAGGCTGGAAAAAAAGGTGAGAAATTAGGAGATTATGTAACCGTCTGCCCGCTTGTCCAAACGCTGAGGTGGAGTTAATGACTGTGAATTTAAATTTCAGCACGCCAGGCTGAAGAGGATTAAACCTCGAATGTAGCAGGCATGTTATCCAGTTTATGAGATTTCCTCTTACCTGTGGTGCACTATGTACGTGATGATGGAGGCGAAGAGGCAGAGCAACATGACCGCCGTGCAGGCGTACACGACCGGGTGCAGAAACTCCCCGGGGTAAGGGGGGAAAGAGAGCACCTTCTTCAAATCCTGAAGCACAGAAAAAGTAAACAAGAAAAACATTGTCACTATCAGCGCCATGAAAAACCATCAGTCAGTAAAAACTTGGTGTGAAAAATGAAAGAAACTTTGGGAAAAAAAATCCCATAATGACACATAATGAGCTCCTAGGATACATATTCACAGCATAGAGCTCTGATGAGATATGTGAGCAAAACACAAATAAACGTCGAGGAAACGTCTCTGAGTTCGAATGCTGTCCAAATCACTACAAAGGAGAAACAACCGTGTCGAGCGAATAGTCTTCCCTCTGCATTTACATTCAGCATTTCAGGCATTAAGCTGACAATGTTTGGCAGAGTGACTGAATGCAAAAATATCATAAGCTTCCCAGGCTGCCAGCAGAGAAAATTCTGGACCAGAAATAGATTAAAGAAAACAAATGGGGAGAGAAAATATAATACAATGAATGTGACGGTGAAATAAATTTCGCAAAAATGTCGTTCAGTTGTGGCACAAACTGTGACTGTTACAGCTTAAATCTGTAAGGATGCGAAGTTCTTTGTAAGAGTTCCTGTCAGCTTTAGATCTGCACAAGAGCAAACTGGGGCCTTTGAAAACAATCCAGTCTCACCCTGTATGCAGCCAACGCACTGTCTGGCACCGATCGAGGCAAAATGAAGAGTGATGTCGTGATTTTTGGCTCCATCATGTTGAAGTTGCTAAATAAAGTGCACCTTATCTCCATAAGCCCCGCCAGCTCGGTGTGACTTTGTGTCTCGGAGAGTGATCCACATACAAGCTGTCTGGCTCTATCATTGTCTCAGAAACGAGCCCGGTGGGAGATTCCCTCACCGTGTTTATCCAAAAGGCCGATGAGCCTGTCTGGACCTGCGAGGGGTTGCGACCTGACTCAGAGCTTTTACCAGCACCGTTCCAAAGTAGACTGCTGATTGTTGGGATTATAAATCCATCCTGAATCCTAATCCATTCAGTAGATCTTTTAAGCCTTAGATTTTAAAATAATATATTCTGTAAAAAATAGTTCAGTCCCAAAAAGACATTTGTAATGTTTTACCCACATACATATAGAAATTCACTTCTGGTTATAAGAATCCATTCATTCAGGATGGAAAACCTGATGCATTCAGACCAGCCACTGTTTTCCAGAGTAAAATGATTACATAACAAAGCAATTTCAAATACATTTAAAACCAAGAATTGTTTCCTGACACAAATGCAGTTGTTAAGCATGAAAACTTTTAGTAGGGCTGACGTCAGAGTTTTGGGAAGGCGTTTCCAGAAGCTTAATTGGGGCCTGCCCAAAGCAATGCATGGAGGCAGTGACTGACCTATTCTTCTACACCCAATAGAGCACCTCTTTATTGGGGCCGACCCATAGCAATGCATGGAGGCAGTGACTGACTGCAGACCATGTGTAGAATAATAGGTGCCTTTTTTAATACCTCTGATTCCACGGTGTGAGTACGCTGCCCTGCATCAGCCAGTGCTATAGCTGACTATCCATTGTGCCACTCTTAGCTGTCTCTAATAAAAATCTGAGGTTTCTGCTCACTTCTGTCTTGTGGCTGATTTCGGGTCCTCCTAGGGTGCTTTTACAGTATAATCTGGCCACTATGGACTCGACGGCCACACAGGAGTGGCACGGTACTGTAGAGAGAGCCATTACCAAGCTAGAGGTATTAAGACCAGATACAAGTTCTTGGTCAGCTGGGCCGAGGTCATACACAATGAGGAAGAGAGCAGAGTCTGAGGGAGTGAGCGTGAGCGGTGTCAAAGAAACAGGCTTGGGTCGAGATCCGGGTAGGCAAAACAGCAGTCTGACAAGGGTAAGGCAAAAGGGGCAAATCCAGAGGACAAGGGCGAGGCAGTAACACAGAGGGCGAGAAGGGAGAGCTAGAAACTACTTGCTGAAAGCGTTCGATGAGGCTTAAGAAGGGAAACAATCAGGGAGCAACGCAGCTGCAGGGAATAAGGGAGATGAGGGACATGACATGGATGGTCTCAAACAAAAACACCGGGCACCATGTAACCATCACAGCTTTGGACAGGAGGAGCAGGGAAGACATCACATTTGGTGCATGCTTCTCATAAATATAAACAAATCCCCTTTTGTAAATCTCTTCTTTGCAGTAGCCACCTGCAAACGAAACGCAGTCATCATCAGGCTTAAACGTCCGTTGTCCACTCATAAGATTTGTGTAGAAGTGGGTCTGCTCTGAATCACAGCAGATGATGGAGGAAAGACGGAACAGCCAATTTCCACTTTGTCCAGGAACGTCAATAGTTGCATTTGGAATCACTGGACGTGTTGGATTCGACAGACCTGGCCGACCGTGGCAGAAACAAGACTATCGCTTCATTTTTACTGAGGAAGTTCTTTCTGCTAAAGACTGACTTGCAGCATGAACAGCGAGTTTCCCTACCATAATCCACCCAACAGCTAAACAAAGAGGCGATCCTGATGAGACGTTTTGCAGGCTGAACAACGAGGGCACTGCTCTTCAAGAGGTCTATGAAATCTCCCTTGCACCTTTCACAGGTTTTCTCACTGTTCATTAGCATATCCATGTTTCTGTCACTTGAATTTAGCCAGTCTAAAACAGCTTCCAGTAAATATGAAATTTGGTAGTCGTTCCCCATGTCTGACAACAGTTCACTCCGCCTCAGTTCCATCTGAACCCGGTAGATTTCCAGTGGGAAAAAATATTTCTCCGGATTGTGAATTGCTGAATGGATCAGACTGACACATAACGGAGTGGCTGAAGATGATCGGCAGGATTTTTGGGGATTCTGAGAAAGGCACTTTCTAGTAAAACTCAAGTTCAGTAAGCCTTGAATACTTGCATTAATCCAACAATTTCTGAACGAATTGGAAAACGTACAAAAACTGTCAATGTAGCTTTCTTCATTTCTGCCGATTTCATTCTTTACGACATCTGTGGTTTCTGAGAGAACGTTATCTACTGCAAAGCAAACTTTCCCAGCCAGAGAAGTTTGCTCTTTTGGAAGATTGGAGAAATTGTTCCCTAGGACAGCGCTCTCTCTTCATGGCTACTGACTTCTAATGCCGTCTTCTTCAAAGCAAAACTTGAGCTTTCAGACTCAACTGTCTCCTCACAGGGAAGATTGGCCAAATCGTTCCGTAGGACAGTGGTCTGGACAGGGCTCTCTTCATGGCTACCGTCTTGAAATGCAAAAGCAAAAGTTGAGCTTTCAGACTCAACTGCTGGGGAAGGTTAAAAAAGAAAAGCATTGAAAACATTGTACTCAGAGAAGCCAACTTCCCCAGCCGGGAAAGGCTCACGAAGAACTTCCCCAGTCGGGGAAGTTTGCTTCCCAGCTGGGGAAGGTTCAAAAAGAAGAGCATCGAAAACATTGCACTCAGAGGAAGTGCTCTTGTCCTGAGAGCTACTACTATCTGAATCGCTACCAGGAAATAGTTTGTCACAAACCTTCTTCATTCATACGGTAACAAAATATCCAAGGCCAAAACTCAGGGAAAAAAAACATGGTAACTAATATCTCCTCTATAATAAAAATCCTTGCAAGACACAGTGTTGAGGTTCGAAGATCTGCTTGGAAATGAACTGATGTCGAAACCCTGCCCTAAAACAGAGCCAATTAGCATTTTGGCTAATATTAGCTCTGTGGATGGTAGAGGTGCTGACCAGAAACCATGGTTTCTGCAGAAACCCTGCCTTAAAATGCAAATCTAACTGGAATGTGCAGCAGCACATGTAGACAACAGGTTCTATGACCATATCAGACAAAAATTTAGCTTTTTGGCCACAATGTTAAAAAAAATCAAAGCAAAGCTTTTGAATCTGATGTTGTACCATATGGTGGTGGCAGCATTATGCTGTAGAGTTCTACCCTGGAATCACAACCAAAAAAATTATAAAAATTTAAATTTAATGTAATCAGAATAATTCAAAATTCTTATCACAATAAAGGTTTTTCACAATAAGGATAAACCAAATGATAAATGTATATACCGCTAGTGCTAAGGACAGTTTTTCCATGTTATGCATGTATTTTAGTATGTATGCATAACCTAGCATATAACTTTTGTTGTGTAATCATTTAACTCTGGAAAAAAGAAAAGTAAAAAATCCATCTACGACATAAATTATTCAACCACTTTGGCCACATCTACACTGTTTTGTCTTGATAACACATATTAAAAAAAATCACCAAATGTTTATTTTGCTCATCAGAAACAAAATAACAGATACGAGGCATAAATGAACAGGCATTTTACAGGTACGCTGTGTAAATGCAACTCGGTGTCTGCTGTCAGTAGACAGCTGGGTATACAATCACAAAGGTCGCTGAAGGTTTTTCCAAGCAACATCTGATTACAAGGGTGATAATGATGGTGGAAAACATTGACTGTGAGTCATCATGAAGCAAATAAAACACAATGCTGCTGCAACAGGCGTCCTACCCACTGTCAGTGGATGCCATGGCAATGAGAGGACGGCATCCACATGGTGCTCATGTTATAAAAGATCCACGAAGCTACTCATAGCATTAAAATGATTTTATAACCAATGTTTATAAAACAGTAAACTGCAGGGTTTATATTTGAAGTATTATGGGTTTCACAAACTTATCAAAAATACATGCAGATCACAGTAAAAACACAACACTGACAAATGTTCTCCATGTCTGACATCCTGATATGCTGTAAGCCTCCAATATATAAGAACTGCATTATGCTTGGATTACATTTGACTGTGTGCCACTGGATTTGAATAACCCAATTTGCTTTTTTCTGTAGAGGACTCTGGTTGTGAAATTTCTCTACATAAATAAACAGAAGCTATAAAACTCCAACTTCAGCCACCAATCAAATGAACAGTTACTGTGAGCAAACAGAAAGCGTACGGAAGCAAACGGTCCTTTTGGGAGAAAAACACAATACCACAAAGATGTTCCGACTGTAAATGGCTTCAGCTCAGTTTCTGCTAATTTTTAACGGGAAAGAGGAAAGAAGACAACAA